TCTTCTGAATGCTAGAATGTCCAAGGTCAAGGTATCAGCAGACTTGGTGCTTGTGAAGGTCTGTCTCATAAATAGCACCATCTTACTGTGTCCTTGCATGGTATGGTGCAAAGAGCAAGGACTTTTTATAAGGGTACTAATCCCATCAATGAGTACCCCCAACCTCAAGACCTAATAATTTTCCAGAGATCCACCTCTTAAAATCATTCACATTGGGGATTAAGATTTCAATGCATGAAATTGGGGTGGGAATACAAATGTTCAGACCATAGCACACATCAGAGAAAGATTTTAATAATCACGACTGTAGAAAGACCTTTTCTGTGGATACTAGTTATTCTCTTTCCCTAGCCAACCCTGTTACTGCCCAGTACTTTTGGACATGTAGCAGGAATGGAGGTCATCCATGGGCTCAGCAATGTGGCCTTCTATTCATCATGGCCAGCCTGGCTATAGCTATAGCTACAGCCCAGTATGCCAACATCAGAGAACACTGAGCTCCCAATGTGGAACCAATACCACATCTACTTGGTGTCAGGTTGATCACATTGGACTGTTTATATCATGGAAGAGATAGCATTGTTTTTACTAGAATTGAAAAATAGAATTTTGGATATAGATTTGTCTTTACTGCATGCAATATTTCTGCCAAAAGTACCAGGGTAGATTTAAAGAATGACTTGTCTACCATCATGGTATTCTACACAGCACTGCTTCTGATCAAGGAACACACTTCACAGTATGAAAAGTGAAGAAATGGGCCCACACTCATAGAACTTACTGGTCTTACCAAGTTTTCCACCACCCTGAAGCAGTTGGCTTAACAGAATGGTGCAATGGTCTTCTGAAGAGTCACTTACAGGCCCAGCTAGGTGGTAGGGCAGAGATAGGGTAAGGATCTTTAGAAGCCTGACTATACTCTGAATTAACATTCACTATATGATACTGTCTCTGATAGCCAGGATTCATGAATATAGGAATTAAAGGATAGAAATGAGACTAGTGCTAGTTATCATTATCACCCACTGACAAATTTTTTGCTTCTTGTTCCTGTGACTTTATTCTCTGTTGGCCTAAAGGCCTTATATACAGAGGGAAATGCTTCTACCAAAAGACTCAACAATTATTTCATTGACCTGCCACCCAGCCCTTTAGAGTTGCTCATGCCTCTAAATTAACAGGCCAAGAAACCATTTGCAATGTTGACTAGGATGATTGATCTTGACTATTAAGAGAATACTGGACTACTACTCCACAATGGAGGTAAGAGAGAGCAGGTCTGGAAAAAAAGAACTCCCTTAGGACATTTCTTAATATTGTTATGTCCCATGATTAGATGAATGGAAAAATACAACAATCAAATAATGGCACAGAATCTTCAGGAATGAAGAAGTAAAGAATAATGACCAGCTGTGGTATTTGTTGAATTCAAACAAATATAGAATGGATAGTGGAAAAAAAGTAATTATTAATGTCAGCTATGACCATGTGACCACTTGTAAAAATGGTGACTATAATTGTCATGGGTATTTCCTCCTTATTTTGTTATGAATATGTTTGTCTATATATCTGAAATCTTTGTTTTCTTCCTTGATTCCTTTATCATGTAACATAAAATGTATTGACTTTACATCACAGTGTGAATATTGTTAATTTTATATCATAGCATTTAAATATTCTTTAGAGATATCAAGGAGAAAAATAAACATCATTCAAGGACGTTAATACCCCTTTGGGATGGTGTTGTGGGTTGTACACAGGAAAGTTGTAACATGTTAGGGAGAGTTTCTTTAGCAGCATTTAAGATTTCACCGAGGGCCTACTGCATGTTAGCCAAAGACTTTTTTGAGCTACACCCTCATCTTTTCATTATGTATTTTTATCTGGGAGTTTAATCCATGGGGAAGGATTTACTACTGCCATTTTGTTTTATTTTACTAATAGATATGTAGGAGTATCTCACTGAGCTTTTTCTTCTTTTTTGGTGCTAAGGATTGTACCTAGGGCCTTGCATATGCTAGGAAGCACTCTACCGCTGAAATGCATCCTCAGTCCTTGTTACTGTTCTCACTGGAGATGGCATATGGCTTAAAGAGGTGTGTGTAGGTGCCAAGTTGACAAGTGGTGGACTTGTGCTGGTCTATTTTTTGTGTCAATTTAAATGAATCATGGGGTACCTAGATATTTGGATAAATATTATTTGTGGCTATCTCTTAAGGCTGTTTCTAGGTGAGATTAACATTTGAATCAGTAGACTGAGTAAAACAGATTGTCCTCTCCAATATGACTGGACATTCTCCAGTCCCTGTAGGACCTGAATGGAATAAAAATGCAAAGTGAGGGAGAATTTGCTCTGTCTGCCTGTCTACATAAGCTGTGACACCAGTTTTTCGTGCCCTTAGATTGGACCTTGGCCCTCCTGGTTCTCAGGCTTTTAGTCTCAAACTGGAGCTACATTACCAACTTTTCCTGGCTTTCTAGCTTTCAGATGGCAGATCATAGGACTTCTCAGCTTTCATAAATGTGCAAGCCAATTTCTCATAATAAGTTATAAAGTCACACACACATTCTATTGGTTTTATTTCTCTGGAGACCTCTGGTTAGTTCCTTTTCATCATTGAGGAAAATGATTAGTTACTTTTCTCTATCATGGGGGCTGCAAACAAATGCCTCAAGGGTCCAAGGAATAGTGAATATTAAATTAAGCAGTCATTTGGGGATTGTGTAGAATCTGAGAATTCATGCTCTTTCTAAAGAGGGCTTCCATTACTCAGCTCTAGCTAATTTTGTTATGTGCAAATGCACACTGTCGCCAAATTTTCTGAATTTCAGGAGAAGTCATAAATCTGGGTTTTTATGTGGAAATATTGTAATTGGTTTTGCTTTGTTTTTTGTTTTGGTACCGGGGATCGAACTTGGGTCCTTGCGCTTGCACAGCAGGTGGCGAAACCACTGAACTTAATCCCCGGCCAATATTGTAATTGTCAAAAACTCATAACAAATGAAGTTTTAAAAGACAAATTAGATGGATAAAGAAAAGTGGTATATATACACATTGGAAAACTATTCATGAAAAAGCATTAAATTCTGTCATTTTCAATAACCTGAATGGTACAGAGATCATTACATTAAGCCAAATAGGCTATGCATAGAAAGACAAGTACCACATGCTTATATGCAGAAGCTAAAAAAGTTGATTTCATAGAAGTAGAAAGTAGAATAGTGGTCAGGAATTGTAATGGGGAGAGAGATAGAGGGAAGTTGGATAAAATTAAATTACACAAGAGGAATAAGTTCTAGTTTTTATAACACAGAAGGGTGACCATACTTTAAAAATTTTATAAAGAACCAGAAGAGAAGAATTTGAAGGTTCCTAACACACACACAAAAGATAAATGTTTAAAGAATCAGAAATGCTAATTACCCACATTTGATATTACATATTATATACATGTATGGAAGAGTATCATACTGTATTTTATAAATATGTACAGTTATTTTATATCACTAAAGAGCCAAAGAGAGATCAAAGAAAATATCTCTCTGAGCCCAATTCACTCTATATACATTAAGTTGTATCCTTTGCTTTATCATATTATTTTGTTCATACTGTCTGAAATTATATAAATTCCTGTCTTCCTTTTTTTCATCAGAAATTAACCTCCAAGAAAGACCTTGCCTGTCTATTCAACTCTGTATTCCCAATGCTTGGAATAGAGCCTCACATGCATTAGCCACTTTGAAAAATTAGTATTATGGAAGTTTTCAAATGCACATTAAAGTAGAAGTCTCAGTATAATGAATCTTCCCGTACCATTACCTAGACTCAATAATTATTAACACTGTGCTGTTTTTGTATAATCTGTTTCTTCCATGGGCTTTTTACTTGAGCAATTACATAAAAATGTTTTAAAAATTGTAACTGCTTATTGCTGTTCTAAAATTCACAATATATCATTAATATTTTGTAATATCCATACAAATTAAAAATTTCCCAATTGTCACATGGTATCTTAATAAATATTTTAATACATGATGAACAAATGAATGTGAAATATCTGACAATATACTTTCCAAGCCTTGAAACATAATCTCATTAGAAATTTTAGGATGATTTGCTAGAAGAGCCTTGGTTTTCAAATTTTAAAAGTTGGAAAATTAGTTCAGTAAGGATTGTTCTACATGAAGATAATCTAAAAGTAAAACTCTATAGTGGACATTTACCCAAGAAAAATGAAAATATATTTTTGCATATATACTAGAATGTTCATAGTAGATTAACTCATACTAGCTAAGTGCTGGAAACAACTCATATATGTACCAGTCAGTGTATGGATAAACAAACTGTGGTATATTTATATAATAAAATAATACTCAGCAATGTATGAATGAATCTCAAAAACATTGTGCTGAATAAAAGAAGACTGACACAAGAGTACATTACTATATGGTTCCAATTATACAAAATTCCACAGACAGAAAAATTAATCTATAGTGAAAAACAATGAAAATAGTGATTATTTGTGTGGGAGAATTGACTGCAAAAAGGCATGACAGAATTTTCTCGTATAATGGTAATGTTTTTAGGGACTTTGGTTACACAGGTGTTTATATTTTTCAAAACACATGGAATTGTGTACAGTTAAGATTTGAGCACATTTTTGTATGGAACATTTACACCCAAAATAATTATAAAATATTGAGGTTGATGTGAATCGATGATATCTGCTATTTACCTTGAAATGCATCAGAAGCATAAGAAGGCTTAACTGAAGATGTATAAAGAGATGCTATATGGACAGATATATGATGAAGCAATATAAGATAAAGCAATATAATAGTGTTTGTAGAATCCAGTATTGGGTATTTCAGGTGCTCATAATTCTTCCAACTTTGATCTATGCTTGAAAATTTTTGTAATAAAGTGTTGAGAAAAATCTCACAGTGTTTTCAAAAGATGAGAGAAAACAGAGCCTACCCTAGCAATATGTATGACTTACTCTTTCTGAGTTTCTTGCTAAACTCCCTTCCAAGATGATTTTGGATGAACTGACCTCCGCTCCCGGTTCTTGTGTAAACTGGCAGCTTCTTTGCCATATCGAAGAGCATCTGCTTCTGGACTTCAGGTCTCTCTTCATTTTCATAGCGCTCCTTGTCTGTATAGGATAAGTGGAACTGGAAGCAGAAGTGATATGCAACACTTTATTTTCCAAGGTTCACAGAAAGGATTAAAAACATTAACTACTTAAATGAAAATATTTCTTACCTACTCTTGAAGCCCAGGTACCAATTTATCTTATAACTTTCTCTGGATTTCGCCTCAATATTCATGACTCCAGGAGGTATGTGGCATTATTTTATAAATAAAATAAAAATTAGAGAAAGTGTCTTGTCCAAGGTTGTACTCCATTAATTAATAAGTAGCAAAGCATGGCTCCAAATTCAATTCACCTGATTCCAAGACTCGCTGTCTTTCCATTGCTTTATACTATAATGAATGTCACAGACAGATGTATGACATACTGCTACCAGGATATTGTTGATGGCTAACTGTGCTTATGAAGTTGTAAGTGTTTTTTACAGGTGACATTGATGACACTTTTGGAGAAGCTGGATAAGACTGCTTATGATACTTCCTATTCAGATCTTGAAAATGAGTAGAAATTTGAATAGTCTCACTATGTATTTGAGAAATTTTTAGTCTGGCATGGAGTGTGTTACCATTTTAGTTCTATACTTTGTTAGTCTTGCAAAAGACATGCCATCAGTTTTCCAAAGTAATACATCTTTCTCTACTCTGGGCCAAAGGGTAGATAGAGGAGAAAAAAACCTAAGTATCTCTGGTCAGAATTTATGGGTTTAAGCCTCACTGCTGTTGCTTAAAAGGTACATAATCGCTTTTAAAAGTCCAACACTCTTACCCTAAGTTTCTTCATCTGTAAAATACAGGAAATAATATGTACTTCACAAGAAGTACTGGGTAATAATAAGTAATTAAAAGTCACACTTGGAAGCCTAATTTTTGGATTATTTAAAAATATTTGATAATCTCAATCTTTTAAATATTAATTCTACTTGGTGTATAATAGTACAATGATACTTAACACCTTCTCATGACTTCACTGACATTTTTATATCCTCTTTTGAATTACCTACTTAAGTCTTTTGTCCATTAAAAAATAATTGGATTGGCTGTCTCTTCTTGTATTGATTTGTAGAAATTCTTTATATATAGTGGATCCTATTCTTTTGTAGATTTTTTTTTTACCAGTTTGTGGGTTTTCTTTTTACTTCTTTATGTTACATTTTGATGGACAGAAGATTTTGGTGGGAGCATATAGTTATGCAACCACCTTGGAAAATTTTGGCATTATCTACTTAAGCTAAATATGTGTCTGCACAATGACCCAGCAATTTCATTCCTAGTTATATAACCAAGAAAAAACATATAATCTCAAAAGTCATGTACAAGAATGCTTATAAAAGTTTTAATTATAAGAGAAAAAATTGTAACAACACAAGTGTACTTCAGCAATAAAAAGGAAAAACTTACTGAAACATGCAGCAACATGGATGAATCTGAAAAATGCTATATTCAAAGAAGGCTTACTCAGAACAGAGCATATATGATTCCTTTTTTATGAGACTAAAAACAGGCAAAACTAATCTCCTGTGATGGTAGTTAAGATTAATGATTACCACTGACAGAAAATTGATTGGGAAAGGCTATAACAGAGATTTCTAAGAGGCTAAAAATGTTCAAAATCTTAACCTGGGTAGTGAATAGGAATATCTATCTATCATTTATCTATCTTTGAATATATATATATATGGAAAAAAATCTCATCAAATTGTACTCTTTACAACTTTATTCTGACTTTATTCTGGGAATAGAGTATATCTGTTATACCTCAATAAAATAGAAAACCAGATATATCAATAAAATATTTGAGATAATTTAAATATATCTCAGATTCAAAGTGGAAATATGTAAAATCAATCTCTTTTAAGAACCATGCCTAGTAGTGTGTTTTTATTGTATCATTTCATTTTTTTTTTACTGTCCAAACTTGTTTTTTATTGATATAGCTGAACTTTACAACATTGTCATAAAATACTATTATAAACAAAGCTTTTGGATAGAGAGGAAAAAATCAAATTTATATTAGCCAGGTTAAAGCATGCAAAAGAGCCAACGATGAAGACATTAAATTAATAATATAATGATCTCTAATCTACCCACTATAGCTTCTTTATAGTTGGGCAAAGAATTTAGTAAACATCACTTTGAAATTTGGTGAACAGACCAGATTTCTGATTTCTATCTATGACAGACCCTTTGTATTTACACTTTACTGGCCATGGCACAGCACATTTAGAGAAACTTGGTACTGGCATCAATTTACTACTCACATTGCAGTCAGTGAGGGGAAATTTGTTCTCCTAGTTTGCTCTGTGAACTTAAAACTCACTAATGAATTAACAATACAAATCACTGAGATACCAAAACTTCTTAATATTCACATTCACTTTTCCCATGAAAAGCTTTAAATATAACTCCAATAAAAAATTGAGTTCTCAAGGCAAACTTTCAGCATAATTTACAGAAGCAGATTTAAATAGAATTCAATAACCAATCTAATCCTAAAAAATACACTTAAGTAGAAGTGATCTCAGCGACTTCAACAACATGCTGAAATGCCATTAGGAGTCCCATGTGCGCAGGGACAACCCAGACAAAAAGAATGAAACTGTCTCTTTATTCACAAATTTTGACATGTTCATATTCAAACTAAGAGGAGAGGAGAAGGGTTCATGTTAATGTTTCCTGTTTCTTTGGAGTGGGTCTGAACTACTCCAGAGATTTCAGAGTGACTTCAGGGCTAGAGTGGCCATTTACAGGACAAACAGCCCTGAACTTGAGGAAAGGAGGTGAAATCACTCTACAAGTACTACTGCCCCTTTAGCAAGTAGATGAGTCCATTGTGGAGAGTCAGGATGCTCCTGAAGAGGCACTCCATGATCTGCTGATGTGGGTGGGGCTACATCTCCCTATAGCTCTTTCCAGCATTCTTTTTTTTTTTTATTAAATTCTTTTATTGGTACATTGTAGGTATACAACACAATTACATTTCTCATTGGGAATTGTACCTTTACATAATGCAT